CAGAGCCAGGATAGTTTCTGCATCGGCGAGAGCGCGCGCGGGAGAGATTCTCCCAGGGTTTTGCGGGGCAAGGCTCTCTGCAGCAGGCGTTTGCTTTCCACTTCGGACCAGTGGACAGCGCTGGAGACATTTTGGGTGTCACACGATGAGAAGTGTGTGTGCGCGCCTATGTGCGTGTGTGTGCGTGTGTGCGCGTGTGTGCGTGTGTGCGTGTGTGTGTGCGTGTGCGTGCGTGTGTGCGTGTGTGTGCGTGTGTGTGTGTGCGTGTGTGCGTGCGTGTGTGCGTGTGTGCGTGCGCGTGCGTGCGCGTGTGTGCGTGTGTGTGCGTGTGCGTGCGCACGTGTGTGTGTGCGTGTGTGCGTGTGTGTGTGCGTGTGTGTGCATGTGTGTGCGTGTGTGCGTGTGTGTGCGTGTGTGTGTGTGTGCGTGTATACACTGCTCGCATCTGGGGGCAGAGGTCCTGCTACACATCCTTCAATGCGCGGGACAGCGCCCCCACACGGCACAGCGGCGTATTGTCCAGCCCTGATGCCACTAATGCCACTAGCATCAGAGTCCACGGTAGGGTCTCTTCTACACAGGACGTGTCAGAGCCTCTCTGGGAAGATAGGCCGTGCTTTCCAGGTGGGCGGAGAAGTCAAGGTTTCTCGTTGGAGGTGCCTCTGGTTGGAATAGTGTCCAAGGAACGCACGTTGGGCGACATCCCTAGACTCTCGGCCCGAGCGTTCCTGGCGGAGCGGAGAAGGAGGAGGGGGACCCAGTGCCTGTCTGTCCTTGGGAAGAGCTCCGGCAGCAGCCCCGGTCCGCAAGGGTCCGCTCAGCAGGAAAAGGGTGGAACTTGAGGCGGGCCTGCGTTCAAATCCCTTAACCCTGAGAATGTGGCTGGGACGATGGCCCCTGGGCCTCAGACCTCTCCTGGGACCCAGGACCAATAACACCCACGTGGCGGGCTCTCCTGGGGTTAGACGGTGCTCGGAGCAGTTCTGAGCAGAAGGAGCGTGAACAACTGTTTCCGTGGCCTCTTGTCTTCCCAGGCCTTGATCTGCACCCTGTACATCCCTTTCTACTGTGGGGTGATCCCCCCCGAATTCCGAGGGGAGGTGAGTGGCCAAGGCCCTGCCCTGTGCTTTCAGCCCCAGGCACCTGCTGGGGAGAGGTTCGGGTGGAGGGCACCAGCACTCCTTAAGCACCTACTGTGTGCCGGCCTCGCCCCTGCTCCTGGGCTGCTCAGAGAGGGTACTCTACAGTACCCTGAGCTCGACAGACCTAGTGACTCGGGCAGCCACTGGCGGGTGCTCCTCGTGGTGTGGCCGGAGGGCGGGCGTCCTGAGGGCCGCACTCCTGCCCCAATTGCAGCGCTACTTCGACGGGGCCCTGAGCAACAACCTGCCCTTCTCGGACTGTCCCAGCACCATCACCGTGTCGCCCTTCACCGGGACGGTGGACATCTGCCCCCCGAGCACCTCGGCCAGCATGCTCGAGCTGAACGCCTTCAACGCCAGCTTCCAGTTCTCCACCAGGAACTTCTTCCTGGGGCTCTCCTGCGTCGTCGCGCCCAGCCCCGAGGTAGGCCTGGCCCTGGCGTCCAGCCTCGAAGGGGTGAGAGCCTCGGCCACGATCCAGGGCCCCGTGTCAGACTCTGTGCCCCTGAACCCTCCCCGCAGCCTCAGGGCCGTTGACACACACGTCCCGAGTCTTACAGGCCAGGTCTCGAACCCACAGCCTGAAGCGCCCCCTGAGCGGGTGAGGCGTTAGACTGTCCCCCGCCGGGGCAGCGCCAACCTGCTGGGCCGGCCGGGGCTCCCCTGGGCCAGGCTCTGTGAGAAGGCGCCGTTACCATCCCCGTTTCTCAGGAAAGGACACCGCAGCTCAGAGAGGTTAAGTGACTTGTTCGAAGTCACACAGCCCAGAAGCTGCAAAGCCAGGCTTCCCACCCTCGGCCAGCGCCCCATGCTTCCTCCTGCTGCCCGAGACTGTGGCCAGATGACCCGCTGTGTGGAGGCGAGGCGCACGCTCAGGAAAAGGCGGACAACAGACCCGCTTTTCCTGCATTTTGCCCCTCAGTATTTCTGGAAAATAGGTTGTTTGACAACCAACAGGTTTTCATCAGAAGGTGCTCCTCCCCCCCAACCAGCCGGGCCCTCCGCTGTTCTCCACACTCTCCCGGTTGTGTAGGGTTTTATAATATAAGGAACAAGTCGTGGGACACGGGCTCATTTTCTCTGACCTCCAGAGGGTGGGTGGACAGACGTCTCAGCCCGTTTCACAGACAAGGCCACAGGCGCTCAGGAAGGTCGCGTGACCGTCCCGAGGTCACAGGGCAAGGGGAGGTGGAGCCACGTCCCGGCCTGCAGGGGCCTCTTCCCCACTGTGGCGCTCTGACCGAGCAGCTGGGCAGGCCCCCGGGGTTCCTCGGCCATCTTAGGCCGGTCCTGGCAACGGAGACAGAAGAGATCCATCCTCCACAGACCTATGGGCACCAGGCACCATCCCAGGCACCATCCCAGGCATCCTGGGCCCCAGGAGGGAACTGAGGCCAGAGAGGGGAGGGGCTGGAGCAGGAGCCCCAGCGGGGGAGTCGCAGTGGAGGGAGTGGAGGGAGGTCCCAGGTCCCTCCCTGCCCAGCGCTGGGCCCAGGGCCCTTGCGTGGTCTCCTGGGAGCGGCTGGAATCACTCCCAGTTGAAGACAAGTGTCCGGCCTGTGACCATCAGCCTAGGGGGGCCCGGGCCTCCCCCATCCCCCCTGACCTGTGTGTTGGCAGATGTTGGTCCACTACTGCAGACAAGGCTACCTGGACGCCCTGAGGTTCCTGGAGAGACGCGGTAGGTGACAGCGCCTCAGAGCGGAGTTTGGCCCTGAGAGGTGCCGACAGGGTGGCGGCGTGGAGAGCGGGGGAGTCGCTGTCACGGGGAGGCTCTGGCTGTGCTGACCGCCACATCCCGCCTCTCGCCCGCCCAGGACTCACCAAGGAGCCGGTGCTGTGGACGCTGGTGTCAAAGGAGCCCCCGGCCCCAGCCCATGGGACCCGGGACACTGGCCAAGACGGAGGCCAGAAGGAGGGCCTGTCGCTCAACTGGGCAGTGCCCAGCGTGCTGGTCAAGGACGTGCCCAACTTCAAGCAGCTGTCGCCGGAGCTGGAGGCCGGTACTGCCCCTCCTCCCGCACTTGCTCGCCCGGCAGGCGCTGGCACTCAGGGGCTTGGGTGGGCCCCTGCCCTGGAGGCGCTCTGGCCTGGAGGAGGGCGGGACTCTTTTTGAGTTCCTGCTAAGTGCCAGGGGTGCCAAGGGGCTCTTACACGCGGTGTCACTCACTTCTCACTACGCTGCGGGCCTGAGGGGTTTCCTCACCCCATTTCGGTGATGAGGCTACAAGCTCAGGGCGGGGAGGGACTCACCAAGGCCTCAGAGCCTGCAGCTGGGGGATTCGGACCCAAGTCCGTGCCTGAGAAAGCCCGGCCTTTGCCCACTGCCCGGGGGCGGGGGCGGGGAGGAGGTACTGAGGGGCATGGGGGGGGCACATACGGAGGATCTAGACTCATTTCATCATCTCAACAATCCTCTGAGGACGGCACTGAGTCGTCCCCGTTGTACGAATGTGGAAACCAGAACACCGAGCGGCTAAGTGACTTACCCAAGGTCACACGGCCAGCACATGGCAGAACTAGGCATTCTGCGTGGTGACCTAGATGTCACAGCTGCAATCAATCACAGGTGTCCCACAGACACCTGGAATGGTGCTGGGGGGGGGGGGGGTGGGTTAGCATCTAAGTGAAACATGGAAGGAGCCAGCCAGGCGAAGAAAGGGGAAGACAACAGCATGTGCAAATGTCCTGGGGTTGTGTGGAGGGGAGAAGAGCTGGAGGCCCCCGTGTCTGTAACACAGTGGTTGAGGGGCAAGGAAGCAGAGATGAGCTTAGAGAGGCTGGGAAGGTTGGGTATGTGGCCTAGAGGAGAGAGATGGGGCCGCTGAGGGGTTTACTGAGGGGCAGCCCCTAGTGATTACGGCCCAGCGAACCGTAGGCCCAGGCCCAGTCCATGACTGACTAATGGATCGCTCTGCATGGCTCCTTTATTGTTAGCTTGGGGGGACAGGCTGAGAGGCAGGAGGCTGGGAGGAAAGATGGTGGTGGGGAGGCCAGAGCAGGGTCAGTGAGGTGGGCGAGGGGATGGAGGGATGAGGGACCACACAGGGCAAGCAGAAATGGGCTCCAATGTGTGCTGAGCCCTGGGGACGGGATTGCCGTTCTGCAAACCTGGCCCCGTCCCTGCGGCCACACAGGGGCACCAGAGAGCCGCCTCTTCGATGGGGCACTGCAGCCTGCACCTGGGGTTGGGGAGGGGCGCCCCCTTCCGGGAAGGGAATTGTCATCCGGCCTGGCCCTCACAGGCATCCCTTAGTCCTCACCTACCTGCCAGGAGGTGGGTCCTGCCATTACGGGGAGGCAGCCTAGGCTGGGAAAGGCACGGTCCGGTCTGGCCACGGCAGGTCATCTGGGGGCTGTCTCGGACTTGCTGTATGTGACCCCCCACGCCCCCCAGTGTCTGTGCCTAATAGCACCGGCCAGAGTCAGGCTGGGGGCAGGTGGCTGTGCCATGGTCTGGCGCAGGCATCTGGGCTCTGGTTCTGCCCCAGCCAGGACACAGGCCCCTCCCACCCGGTCAATGAAGGGGACAGAGGGCTGGGGAAGGGGTGGTCCCGGCCCCAGCTGCAGCCCCTGCTGTGGTTAGTAACCGCTGGGCTACTGTTATGGAGGGAGGTGAGGTGTGGGCACCTGTTCCTGCTTGGGCGGCCACCGCAGACTTTTCAGAGAGAGGGGCGGGAGAGGGGTCCATCCTGGCCCTGCCACCTCCTAGCGACGGTCTTTGGCAAGTCCCTTCTCCACTCTGAACCTCTGTCTCCTCTTCTGAGAAAGGGGCACCCCCTGCCCATTTCTCGGACGATGATGAACAGCTGAGGGCCTGGCCCCTGCTGGCTCCCGGCGGGGGCCTGGTCTGTGTTTCTTGCTCTGCGGGTGGGGGTGAGCACCCTCTGTGGGCTGCAGGGTGGAGAGGAGCTGGTGGGCATGCTCCCCTTCTCTTGCAGCCCTGGAGAAAACAAGTAGGAGGGACCCCAGGCCCTGGGCCCGCTTCCGCCGCTCGACGCCCGGGAAGGCGCTGACCTACCTGCTGCTGCCCTGCACGCTGCCCTTCGAGTACGTCTACTTCCGGGGCAGAAGGTGAGGCCGGGCAGGGGCTGTGGTGGAGACCAGTGCCCAGGGCAGGAAGGGCGGCTGGCACACCAGCGGGCAGAGCCTGGCTGGTCTCTCCACGCTGCCAGGTGTTGGCTGAATGACCCAGAGGGCCCTTGGGGGCTGGTTCGGAGGCTGTAGCTGCAGTGGACCAGCCGGGGCCTCCTGGTCAGCGCCCCGGTCCCTCCTGTCCGTGGGACCTTGGGCCCATCTGTCAGAGCCTCAGAGACCATGAGCTATTTTTGAAAATAACTCTAGGGGCTGGGCTGGCTCAGATTTGCTGTGTGGCCTGGGCCAGGTCTCTTACCCTCTCTGGGCCTCAGATTCCTTTTCTATACAACAAGGCTCTTCCATGGCAGGCTGGCTGTGGCTAAGCCTCTCTTCTCATTCTAACTCTGCTGACTAGTGGGTCACTGTGTTGCTCATTTATTCTAGGAAGAGTCCTCGAGGGCTCACCAGGGGCCCGCCCTGGCTGGAGGCTGGGAGGCAGCACTGACCCGGCCCCAGGCCCTGGCCTTGTGGAGCCTGGCAGGACACAGGTCATCACACGTTCACTTGTGTAATCACCGCTCTGCCTGGAGATGCCTAGGGCGTCTCCACTGGCTGTGAACCGGGATGGCTTACATTAGGGCAGTGGTTCTCAACCTTCTGGCCCTTTAAATACCGTTCCTCATGTGGTGACCCAACCATAACATTATTTTCGTTGCTACTTCATAACTGATGTTGCTACTGTTATGAATCATAATGTAAATATCTGATATGCAGGATGGTCTTAGGCGACCCCTGTGAAAGGGTCATTTGACCGCCAAAGGGATCGAGACCCACAGGTTGAGAACCACTGCACTAGGGACTGCCTAGTCATGGAAGGCTGCCTAGAGGAGATAACTTAAAAAATTTTTTTATTATTGATGTCGAGAGGAAGGGAGAGAGGGAATAGAAACATCGGTGAGGAGAGAGAAACATTGATCAGCTGCCTTCTGCACATCCCACACTGGGGATCGAGCCCGAAACCCGGGCATGTGCCCTGACCAGGAATCGAACTGTGACCTCCTGGTTCATAGGTCGATGCTCAACCACTGAGCCACACTGGCCGGGCTAGAGGAGATAACTTTTGAGCTGTAATCTGAAAGACGAATAAGAATCCACTAAGCAAAGAGGGAAGGGAAGAGCATTTCAGATGGATGGGACAGCATATGCAAAGGTCCTGGGGCAGAAGGGAGTAAGGCTCGTTTGAGGAGCAGAAAGGGAAGTCGGTGTGACTGGACCTACAGGTGGAGAGCTGTCCAAGATGGGGCTGGGGAGGCGGCAGGGGCTAGGCACACAGGGCTCTGTAGCTGTGCGAGGAGGGTGCTCTTTACCCGACAGTGGTCGAAGGCAGCGCGGGGACACTGGTGTCCTGGGAGGTCTGCATTTTAAAAACTCTATTCCCCGAAAGAAGGCCTGTGACAGGGGCCAAGGTCTCTGTCCTGCTCCACATCGCGGTGATGACGGGGCCAGTCCCGCCGTTTAAGCGGCTGGTGACGCAGAGCTGGGAGAGAGCCTTCCGCTGACTGCTCCGCCTCGTGCTGAGCTGTGAGACTCAAACCACCGTTTGAAATAAAAAAGGATAAAGGCAAATTCTCGCCTTTTCAGTTAAAAAGAAAATCCACTTGTGCGCACTGCTGGGGAGGCCTGCCCAGACCACGGGAACGTCCTGCTGGTATTTCTGTGCCTGCACGTGGGTGTAATCATCGAGGCAGAAGGGCCACAACGAGGGAGGTGACAGTCTGGCTGATGTGTTGCTTGTCGCACGGCACTGGGACTGTCTGCCCAGTCTGAGGCCTGGTTTAGAGGCCCCTCTAAGGGCCTGCGGGGGGGAGGGGAGTCCAGTGAAGGTGCCGGCCACGCGCTTTCTCCGCCACAGCTGAGTGGCTGGCCCTCTGCCTGGCAGGGTCCCGTGGAAGCAAGAGAGGCTCTGGTGGGCTGTGTTTCAGGTCGGGCCCTGGCTGCTGGGCGGAGTGCATGCAGGGGTGCGGAGTGGGGAGCTGGCCTGGGGAGGGTGCATGCAGGGATGCAGGGGTGCAGAGTGGGGAGCTGGCCTGGGGAGAGGTGAGAGGGGGATGGAGATGGGGGGAGGCTAGGAACTGCAGGCGAGGTGACGGTCCTTATTTGGCAGGTGAGAAAGCTGAGGCCCAGAGAGGTGCCCAGCCCCGCCCCCCCCAGGTCACACAGCTGAGAAGCCGTGGGGCTGGGCTACACC